TATAAATTTTCATTAGTTATCCATAAATCAAATATGTACATTGTACTCAAAAACTGACAAGAAATGCCTTTCATTAAAAATTCATGATTTTACATGAAATATATTTTTTTTAATATGACACATCACACAATATTTGCGGTGAACATGAAGCCGAAGGATTAATTTAATAGTTGTACTACAGTATTAAAGCAATATCATAATAAGTGGCAGAACTGATAGTGAAAATATCTAAAAAATACTTAATAAACCCCCTTTCCCTTTCCCAGGAAAAAAACTGAATAGTGAAAACAACAAAGATTAAGGCACCTTGGAACCTTGTCAACCTGTTCTGATCTACGGCAGTAGTTAGGCTCGGAGACGAAGGGGGTCTGTGTGTGTGTATATATGGTGTATTAAGTGCTATACGGATTGAACTATAAGCTCAATAAACTAACGTTCAATTATCTTTTTTTATTTTACGATAAGAGCTCTTAAATTTCCTCAGGGTCAGGATTCATGAATCGCTAAATTGCAAAACAGGGTGGACTTCGTCACTTCTTGCCCCCCCCTACAGGGGGGGGCAAGACTTCTCTAGGGAGGGGCATGCCCCCCCCTTAATCAGGCTAGGGGGGGGCCTGGCCCCCCTGGCCCCCCCCCTAGTTGCGCGCCTGAATTAGGATCGATAGGAGAGAATGGAAGGCAATGCATAATCAACAGAAACGAACACAATAGAAACCAGAAATAAAATGTTATGTAAATGTCGTTTTCTTTCTGTCGAAAATTATTTTAAAACCAATCTGTTTTTGATATGTTATATTTTATTAGGTTACTATGCCGACCCAGAGATGGAGTGCCAGGCCTACCATGTTTGCCTCCAGGAAAAAATTATACTCATTATTTGTTTTTGAAAATGTGCCCGTGAGTTATTGAATTAGGAAGACGACATTTAAGCAATCAAATGCAGTCAATTTGATGTTGTGTTATAGCAAATGTTTTACCACATGTATGAACATTGGTCGAACTTTACAGGATGATAAAACCATCGCTAAATTCTTTTCTGATAGATGGATGAGGAATGGCCTCTAAAGCTTATAAATCACTTTATGTTAAATAAAAAAGGGTATGTGAACACTATACGCATTGATTGATGTGCTTCAAGTTTATTACACCATTTAAATTCCTAACTTGAGTCAAACGGTCGTCTTCCTATTCCACAGTTATCAGGGTTTTAATGTACAGTATACACGTATTAACTCTGAATTGATTCAATAACTCATAACCATTTTTTGTAACATGAACATGAACATGAACATGAACATGAACATGAACATGAACATGAACATGAACATGAACATGAACATGAACATGAACATGAACATGAAAATAAACATGAACATGAAAATGAACATGAACATTAACATGAACATGAACTTGAACATGAACATGAACATGAACATGAACATGAACATGAACATGAACATTAACATTAACATGAACATTAACATTAACATGAACATGAACATGAACATGAACATGAACATGAACATGAACATGAACATGAACATGAACATAACATGAACATAACATGAACATGAACATGAACTTGAATATAAACACACAAATATGAATAAATAAAGAAAATCTAAAAATAAACATGGCCGACTCTAAAAAGTTTGGTTTGGTTTAAGGTTCAACGTGGACTGTTCTGCTTCTACTGGTCTATATGCTGGTGCTGAGGGGGCTTTTGGTGGACTAGGAGTAGCTGGGGGAGATGGAGGTATATTTTAAAACAACAGTTTTTTATCAAAATATTGTAGAGCTTCAAAAGATATGTATTTCCACCTTTCACATTTTGCTGAACCAAATAAATTATAATTGCGAGTTTTCAATAAAACATTTGATTTATAACAAAAATATTGAAAAAAACGAAAACAGAAAGCTCACATGCTATTAACTTTTTATATTTGCATTACATTATTTGAATTGTATGTGTAAGTGTGTATTTTTAAAAGATACAGATTTTACAGCAAGTTTTAAACATGATTTATTTATTTTAAATAAATAAATAATAAATAAAACTAGCAATAGTAATTAAAAATAATTCTAACCATTAATTACATAGAAGGTTACAGCCAAAGAGAATAGATAAGTATAGAGTGGAATTAAGTTGAAAAATGTGTAAAACCCCCATTTTATTGTTATGTTCTCATACTGCAGGTGTACTTTACAGTTTACACATTTGTGATATCATAACATTTTGGTCCCTGGAACATCTTTCAAAAGGAAAAATGTTCTTTAAAATCATTTAATTTTCTCAGAACAAATACTCTGACAATCTGTCCAGGATTCCCAAGTCCGATTCCGCATAAACTTTTATAAAAAGAAGAAATTGTAACGGATATGTCCAGGGTTCATACTGTATTATTGTGAACATTTACAAGAATTGTACTCTTTGAACTCCTTTTCAGGCTCAATGGGACTAAACATCTTCATACCAAGGGACACTCTTTTATGCCAATCTCTGTTCTGTGCAGTTACAAATAAACATTTAAAAAAATGTTAAATATATCTTTTTAACATTGATATTTTATCAGGTGCTGGGCAGTGTCCTGCTGCCTCTCCTCTACCCGCAGATCAGTGTTCAGGAACAGTTTCTAACTGCTGGAGTCCAGGTACTAAACTGTACTTCATACTGTACTGTACGGTACTGTACTGGTCTGTACTGTACTGTACTGTACTGTACTGTACTGTACTGTACTGTACTGTACTGTACTGTACTGTACTGTACTGTACTGTACTGTAATGTACTGTACTGTACTGTACTGTACTGTACTGTACTGGTCTGTACTGTACTGTACTGTACTGTACTTCACTATACTGTACTGGTATGTACTGTACTGTACCGTACTACGTTCTGTACTGTACTACGTTCTGTACTGCACTATCATTTACTATAACAATTTTATTACTGAAATATAACTATATTCTTTGATTGCATCAATACAAATAATCTAGTTTTCTATTTTCTAAAAAGGGCTATTTAGCAATATTCAGACATTCACCCCCTTATAATTCAATAATGCCTCCATGAAAAACTGAAAAAGTGAAACCAATGACTCTTAAGCTATAACTTTTGTGTGATAAGAAATCTAAGTTGAATTTAAAAAACATATTAATTCCTACAATACAATGGTTAGTATACAATGCAATGCAGAAGCGGTCACTGCAATGGTGATTTGATACAATTTCTATACCTGATAATTCATTTATATACACTTAACATTCTCTATTGTGTAGCTTTTCAGTTACGATTTTGTATTGATATATATGCTGGCTATGATAATAATTTTTTCTAGGGCAAACTGACACTGACTGTCCCAACAACGGTCTGTGCTGTTTTGATGGGTGTGCAGATACCTGCGTTGATGGACCTAAACCAACAGCCGCTCCGGCTCCGAGACCAACAGTAGCTCCTGCACCCAGGCCTACACCTGCTCCTGCACCTCTACCTGTAAGAAATAAATTTTTTTTTAAGAAAAAAATATTTACAGGGTCCATATATTTTTCCATGATCGACTTTAATATCAATACAATGATGACGACATTATATTATAGTTTAATTGCTTACAAGCCTCCAGAGCAGAGACCAAACTTTAAAAATACTTTCAAACTTGGACAAAAAACCCCACATTTCTGTATACAGCAATCTTGTTTTTTTATAAAACGATTAGTTGTGCAAATTTTTAGCTAAAATATAGTTTTTTAGTGTACCCAGAAATGAGTCTGTGTACACTGTAAATGTACATGTACTGTCGTCTTCCTTTTCCACTTCTTAGTACTCCAGGATTTGGATTCCAATGCCAGAAATTTTATTTTAACTTTTTAAAAAGTTTTAAAGGGACTGTATGCGTAGTTGTAAGTGAATATTTATGCAAAGATGACAATGCTGATTCATAACGGTACCCTTGAAACCTTTATCTGATCAATAATTTTGAAGATATTGTCGTTTTTTTGTGTTCAAAAGAGATATTTATGATCATTCCCATATGTCTTTTCTGCAGTGGAAATGCGTAATTCCTTTTTGTAGAGAAACCACAAATGATAACAATCAGTTTTTATAATCATAAAGATTGATAAAAACATAGTACTTGATCCGACAAAGCTTTTAAAGATTCTGTTGTGAATCGGGCATTGCCATCGTTGCATGGAGGGTCACTTGAAATTACGCTTACAGTCGACCTTTAAGAGATTTTTTTCGCACCGCTTACTTGATCTCTCCTTTATTTTGCTTAACCATGATTAGAAATTGCTGAACAGTAGATATCCATTGTTTTGTTTTCCAGGTGGAACCTGTTATTGCTGAACAGTAGATATCCATTGTTTTGTTTCCATGTTGAACCTGTTATTGCTGAACAGGAGACAACCATTGTTGTGTTTTCATGTTGAACCTGTTATTGCTGAACAGGATACAACCATCATTTTGTTTACAGGTGGAACCTGATATTGCTGAACAGAAGACAACCATTGTTTTGTTTTCCTGGTTGAACCTGTTATTGCTGAACAGGAGACAACCATTGTTTTGTTTCCAGGTGGAACCTGTTATTGCTGAACAGGATACAACCATCATTTTGTTTACAGGTGGAACCTGTTATTGCAGAACAGGAGACAACCATTGTTTTGTTTCCAGGTGGAACCTGATATTGCTGAACAGAAGACATTCATTGTTTTGTTTACAGGTGGAACCTGTTATTGCTGAACAGAAGACAACCATTGTTTTGTTTTCCAGGTTGAACCTGTTATTGCTGAACAGTAGACATTTATTGTTTTGTTTCCAGGTGGAACCTGTTATTGCTGAGCAGTAGACATTCATTGTTTTGTTTACAGGTTGAACCTGTTATTGCTGAAGAAGAGAGTGAAAGCTTCCCAGCTGTTCTTCCAGGACCAACAACTACTAAGGTGAACATTGTTCATCATTATCATAATATTATTATCGATCATCATCACCAACAAATATTTGTTTAAACTGAAGTAAATGTACTCGAGTAAATGTCCGAGTAAATGTACTCGAGTAAATGTCCGAGTAAATGTCAAAATATAAAAAATATCCTACCTTGACATTTTCTGGTTTAAATCCACTTGTATCAATTTTACATTTAATAAATTCTCCATCCTCTTCTATCTTTATACCAGTACCCATAGTCTTCAGGGGCATCATCATTCTAAACAAATTTAAATATAAAACAATAAATAAATATTTTTGAAAAATAAACCTATGAACTAGGACTTTTCAGAATTCAAGAAAAGTTTAAAAGTCGTCTTTAAAGCAGTCATACATCAGCAATTATATTTTAAGATGAATTATTAATTTTTTTTAAATTCTGGTTTGCTACAAAAGTGACTTAGGCATTTCTAGTTAAAAAAGGAATTATCAGAATTTATCACTTTTTTTCAAGATAGAAAAAAACACATTACATCTTTCACGTTCTTGATCAGATAAAGGTTTTAAAGGATACCGTTGTAAATCGGACATGCTACTCCTTGAATTTAATAAAAATTCCTTTTGACCATAAAAAGTAAAAAAAAAAAAATGAAAAATTTGACTAATTCGAATTTTTTAACAAACCTTCCGGAGAAAAATGGCGAGAAAAATTCCTTCCAGATCATCCCCTCATTATCCTCCTTCCCAGCCTCAACCACGCTCCTGTCCTTCCCCTCCTTCCCCTCCTTGGAGTCTGGGAAGGGGTAGCTCCTGAACTCAGAGAAGGTGGCTGGCATCATGTCGTAAAGCATATGGTCCAGATGCCTGAAAATTCATAATCTTTTGATAAAAAAAGATGTTTTTAATAATATTTCAAACTCTTTTAATTATTCTTAAATTGTATTATTTTATTAATAAGTTACAGTTTGAACTAGAACTTTGGAGACATCGTTTTCAAAACCTACTGATATTTAGTTTTCTAATTGAATACTTGAGCACTGAGATTTAAGTATTAATAGTATTAAACCCATTGAAAAATGGTCAAGACGACATTTGATAAATTCTTTTAATTTTCGGAAGTTCTGGGTTAAACTGTACACAAAATGGATAATTGTTACTTTCAGCAGATCTCTCACATTGAAAAATGGTCAAGACGACATTTGATAAATTCTTTTAATTTTCGGAAGTTCTGGGTTAAACTGTATACAAAATGGATAATTGTTACTTTCAGCAGATCTCTCACATTGACAAAAATGGCGATAAATATATTTCTAATCCGTCATCACTGTTTCTCTTTGTATGATGTAAAATTTTAAACTTTAATAAAGTTATATCCAGAAAACTCTGAAATAGGAAGACGACTTTTAAACTCAAGTTAGGACTTAAACTAGTTCAATGAACATTAGACATAGCAATTGTACAGTGTAAATAGGCCCATTTCACTTAAATTGTGCTTTGCAAGTTACTAGTAACAATATTAGCTTTGTAACAACATCAAACGCTTAAGTATTGCTATAATGTCGTCTTTTTTTCCATTTTTTGGTTTTCTGGTTATTATTGTATAAATATTAAAACTCGATTTAAACGTTTTAAAACAATAAAACTACCTGTGTGATCCACTGAAGCTTCTTTTTGGATCGTCGAACGGATAGGATTTAAACTCAGAAAATGTGGCGGGCATCATTTCATAAAGCATCTTGTCAAAGTGTCGATGCGCAGTGGAAAATTCTTCTCCGGGGAGAGCTTTCTCGACAACCTTCTCTACTTGGCCTACAGCTTTCTCAACCTTTTCGACAACTTGTTCGACTGCTTTGGCGACTCCTTTAGTATGGACGCCGCGGACGATTGTTTGAGCCGATTTAAACATTTTTGAATTATTATGTCTATCTTGTTATCAGATTGAATAGTTGAATAGAACTGATGGATAAGTTCCAAAGCAAAGGGGTTTATATACCGAGGTGCCCCTCCCCCCGGGCCCAACCCAAGGTGGATGAGAAGACCCCCTCCCCCGTCAAACCCCTTTCTGATTCACCTTACTAAGACGTAAATAAAAGGTATCGGACATGCGTAAATTGAAATGCGTAATTGTGTTTCTAGGAATTAGAATTCGACCCCTCCAATTGCTGATCACAAGTTCACAAATCACAACGCAAAAACAAATTCTTCCAAATTTACAACAAAACATTAATCAATTAATTAAACCGAAAAAGTTAGAAAATTTAAAGGTTTTGTCAAAAATACACATGAATAAAGATTCTATAAACAGGGGGTTTGATAAACAAAAATAAAAATAACAAACAGTAAAAAAATCAAAAAGATAAAAATATTCTATAGTCACGTCTGGGAAGAAATCATCATCATTGGAGTACTATTAAAGGCCCCAAAGGACGTCTATTGGAGACCCCTAAACTTTCGTTTGAGACCCCCAGATTTTCATAGGAGACTTCAAGATTTTCATTGGAGACCCCCAGAATTTCATTGGATACCCCCAGAATTTCATTGGAGGCCCCAGATTTTTTTTGAAGACCCCAAGATTGTTATAGGAGAATGGAGACCCACAGATTTTCATTGGAGACCCCATATTTTCGTTGAAGACAGCCAGATTTGCATTAGAGATCCCAAAATTTTTATTGAAGACCCCCAAATTTTCATTGGAGACCCCAGATATTCATTGGAAACCCCCAGATTTTCTAATTCTTAGAGTCGATAATGAAAATCTGAGGGCTCCAATGAAAAGTTTGGTGTTTCCAATGAAAATCTTGGGGGTCTACAATGAGACGTCCATGGGAGTCTCCAATCTTACTCCAATGATGATGACTTTTTACCAGACTCAAAACATTCATAAGTGTTATCATGAAATTAAGTACATATTTTTGTCGGTTGTCTTAAAAAAATTACATATTTTTTTTAAGTTGTTAATTCTATCAAAAAATCAAAAAGCAGCTATATTCACCCTGCTAAAAAAATTAAAACTTCTGATAAAATCTTTGTCATAAAATTAAGCAATACAACTTCAAAATAAATAAAGGTTCGAATGAAATCTTAACAGTGAACAATGAAACAAGTAAAAAAAATGTTTCTCCTAAAATGTGGACAGCGCAATATTTGTAAAAAAAACAAGAAAAAGCATTTTTTGATATTTTTTTGTATTTTTAAGAAGAAAAAAATTGTACAGTTATACAAAATTCTTTTTTTTCTCTTTAAAACGTTAAGTTGATATTTTATCAGATTATTCCAGTATCTCTAATCATAACCATTATCATTTTAGATTTTCTATAAAATGATATTCCAGGGCCCAAAAGGTTATATAGCAAAAATATGTGAAGTACACCTGCAGTATGGAAACAGTACAACAAAATGGCCGTTTTACACTTTTTTCTAGTAAATCCTCTAATATATATTCTATTTTCTATGCTCCCCGACCTTACCATAGGATTTAACATTTATAATACTGAGGATTCAAAATAATAACTTTAATGTTGACTAAGAGTAAGACTGTGGGACGTGCAGGTATGAGGGGGGGGGGGGGGTAAGCCCCTTCCATTAAGAACAAAACTATAAATAAGCCACCCTCCCTTGAAAGTTACTCATGACTATACAGTATTGTTAACATAAATTCGAAATATAAGGAAGACGATTTTACCGACTCAATTGCCGTCAAATATTCTCAAGATGTGTGTATACACAGGATCCATTTCCTCCACGAAACACACACATGTAAACCCCGCTCCTTTGTTCCCCGCCTCACCCCAGCAGTCGGTCAGGTTTAGAGAGTTGAGCCGGTAACAACTCCGACAAAGGGAGCCTCTTGACTCCTTTATGATGATGACGCAGATACTCAGCGGGACGCTCCTGTTGGTCTGCTCCACCAACATGAAGCTCTACATCACCCCCATGACTCCTTTATGATGATGATGCAGATACTCAGCGCGACGCTCCTGTTGATCTGCTCCACCAACATGAAGCTCTACATCACTCCCCTGAAGTCCCCCCAAATACTCATCATTTATTCCTTTGTTAATTTCTAAACCAACCAAGTTTAACTCCGCCTTAAATGCAAATATTTCAAAACTTTCGTTTTTATTAAATAAATGTTAGAAATATCCATTTAGATCTCTTTTATTTTATTATAGTGACTTTAAAGTCAACAAGTATACAGTGGGAATGATTCATAATTGTTTCTTCAACTTAACCCTATAAAGGCTGGAATGAATTGGTCTGAATCTCTGTATATCCTTAGAGTTAAGGTATTTGGATTGTAATGAGAGGTGAGGGGGGGGCGTCCCCCCCCCCTCCAGTCTGTTTATGGTCAACATTGGGTGTCCTTCTTTATTGTCTTTGTTCTACAAGGCATTATTTTGTAAACACAATTTAGTATTTTCCCAGTAATAATTTTTAACGCCATAAACCCTTGTCTCAGGATTTCTAAAATTCAAAAATACAAAATCAATAACATTTTAAAATATTTACGTCAATTTTGAAGAGACAAAAAGATAGACCACATCTTGGAAAGCTCAGTTTTTAAACACTCTAGCTTAGTCATTCATCAATTATTGGAAATAAAATATCATTTTCATTTTCCCAATCTGACAAATGTAAAAAGATTAAGATGTCATCTTTATTCTAATTCTTTTTCCCCTTACAAATAAATATTCAACCTCATGTTAATACATTACAGGGCCCACTGTTTATCATCTGTTTTGTATCTACTAAAGTATCACTTTTTGGTACAAGAAAACGACATTTAATGGGGGAAAAAGCAATTAATATTAGGCAGAGTTAGGTTTTTAAAATTGGTATGATACTGTAATTGTGTGGAAGACGATATATCTAGAAGTCTGAAGAGTTCCGCCAAAGCCAAACCAAATATATTCAGTTTATTCATGTGATTCTCTCAGTTGTTTTGATCTCGATAATATAGACAAAATATATAGTTTACTGAACCAGCCTAGCCTTGCTATTAGAGTCCGTCCTCACGACTTCTATGTTGGTGACCCCGATGTGATATTTTAGTGGTTTGAATTCTCCAATGAACCCAACCAAGGACAGGTTTATTTTTATTGGACCTACCTCCTTAAGTTGAGTCTAAGAGCTGGCAGCTGTCAATCATGGGACTAAAGCAATCATCAGTTGATTCTTAAAGGGAGTATTCGCGAAAAATGAAAGGGGGTATAGGCTTAATGCGATAAAAAAGCGCTTTTGATCGCTACTAATCTTACTTCTATCTGTTGTGTCTATAAGGAGAAACTTGTTAAAGACGTCTCATACCGAATAACTTACCGTCCATACAAATTCAGAAAAGTTCAACATACGACTTAGACCGTAAAAAAATCAATTTTTATCATTATCATTATCATTATCATTATCATTATCATTATCATTATCATTATCATTATCATTATCATTATCATTATCATTACCATTACCATTATCCTTATCATCATTATCATTATTATCATTATTATCATTATCATTATCATTATCATTATTATCATTATCATTATTATTACCATTACCATTATCATCATTATCATTATTATCATTATTATCATTATTATCATTATCATTATCATTATCATTATCATTATCATTATCATTATCATTATCATTATCATTATCATTATTATCATTATCATTATCATTACCATCATTATCATTATCATTATTATCATTACCATTACCATTACCATTATCCTTATCATCATTATTATCATCATTATCATAATATTATTATCGATCATCATCACCAACAAATATTTGTTTAAACTGAAGTAAATGTACTCGAGTAAATGTCCGAGTAAATGTACTCGAGTAAATGTCCGAGTAAATGTCAAAATATAAAAAATATCCTACCTTGACATTTTCTGGTTTAAATCCACTTGTATCAATTTTACATTTAATAAATTCTCCATCCTCTTCTATCTTTATACCAGTACCCATAGTCTTCAGGGGCATCATCATTCTAAACAAATTTAAATATAAAACAATAAATAAATATTTTTGAAAAATAAACCTATGAACTAGGACTTTTCAGAATTCAAGAAAAGTTTAAAAGTCGTCTTTAAAGCAGTCATACATCAGCAATTATATTTTAAGATGAATTATTAATTTTTTTTAAATTCTGGTTTGCTACAAAAGTGACTTAGGCATTTCTAGTTAAAAAAGGAATTATCAGAATTTATCACTTTTTTTCAAGATAGAAAAAAACACATTACATCTTTCACGTTCTTGATCAGATAAAGGTTTTAAAGGATACCGTTGTAAATCGGACATGCTACTCCTTGAATTTAATAAAAATTCCTTTTGACCATAAAAAGTAAAAAAAAAAAAATGAAAAATTTGACTAATTCGAATTTTTTAACAAACCTTCCGGAGAAAAATGGCGAGAAAAATTCCTTCCAGATCATCCCCTCATTATCCTCCTTCCCAGCCTCAACCACGCTCCTGTCCTTCCCCTCCTTCCCCTCCTTGGAGTCTGGGAAGGGGTAGCTCCTGAACTCAGAGAAGGTGGCTGGCATCATGTCGTAAAGCATATGGTCCAGATGCCTGAAAATTCATAATCTTTTGATAAAAAAAGATGTTTTTAATAATATTTCAAACTCTTTTAATTATTCTTAAATTGTATTATTTTATTAATAAGTTACAGTTTGAACTAGAACTTTGGAGACATCGTTTTCAAAACCTACTGATATTTAGTTTTCTAATTGAATACTTGAGCACTGAGATTTAAGTATTAATAGTATTAAACCCATTGAAAAATGGTCAAGACGACATTTGATAAATTCTTTTAATTTTCGGAAGTTCTGGGTTAAACTGTACACAAAATGGATAATTGTTACTTTCAGCAGATCTCTCACATTGAAAAATGGTCAAGACGACATTTGATAAATTCTTTTAATTTTCGGAAGTTCTGGGTTAAACTGTATACAAAATGGATAATTGTTACTTTCAGCAGATCTCTCACATTGACAAAAATGGCGATAAATATATTTCTAATCCGTCATCACTGTTTCTCTTTGTATGATGTAAAATTTTAAACTTTAATAAAGTTATATCCAGAAAACTCTGAAATAGGAAGACGACTTTTAAACTCAAGTTAGGACTTAAACTAGTTCAATGAACATTAGACATAGCAATTGTACAGTGTAAATAGGCCCATTTCACTTAAATTGTGCTTTGCAAGTTACTAGTAACAATATTAGCTTTGTAACAACATCAAACGCTTAAGTATTGCTATAATGTCGTCTTTTTTTCCATTTTTTGGTTTTCTGGTTATTATTGTATAAATATTAAAACTCGATTTAAACGTTTTAAAACAATAAAACTACCTGTGTGATCCACTGAAGCTTCTTTTTGGATCGTCGAACGGAGGGGGCTAAACAGAATGTTGAGACTGAACAAATGGAAAGTATGTTAAAGGCTCTAAGAAAGAGAAATTAAAAATTCCATATTAAAATGAATTATGTTAAAACAAAAACTTATCTAGCTATGTAAAATATATATTTTGGCAAAATGTCAGAATTTCAATTAACATTTTACTTTTGTTTCAGACAACCGGATATAATTACGAGATTCCGGATATACCATTCATCATTGAGAAATCTACTCCCAGACCTGGTCTTCCTACTCTTTACGGAGCTCCTCCAATTGGTAAACATTTCAGGAAGTATAAGGGAGTATTCGGAAAATTTTCGGAAATATCCAGAAAGTTATGAAAAATATTCGTAATGTTTTTGGAAAACAAATTTTTAATTTTAAATGTGTTAGATGTCACGTTCATTTTTTCCCACATTTTTAATAAATGTTTAAGATTTTTATCAGAATAAAATATTTATATCAATTCATTTTAATCACATTTTGTTTAGGGCGTAAGAGGCGTAGTTTGAGTGCAGCAATGGAGTCCAAACAGTTCTAGAAATCTGACGCAAATCGTAGAAATGCGCAATTACATTTAAATAATGCGTCAAAAATATATCTTTTGTGTTTCCTTTAAGAAATGTGTAGGAATAACTATGAAAATCTTCGTCAGATTTTTATCTGTCACATTTGAAAATATCATTTTTTCATGTGTAATAAATACAAGTTAACATTGCGGATTTTTGAGATCTTCATAGAAAAACTGTTCCAGATTTTCTAGTTGGATGCACGACTTGTATTGAGCTGTGAAATCTCATAGTCCAATTTCGGGCATTTAAAATCTGAGTGCTATATGATAACGTTAAAATGTACATAATTACTATAGTGGTACAAAATCACTACCTAGAACTCATGTACGTACATAAATGTGTAAGGTTAGCCATTACCCTAAAGCTAAAAGATAGAATTCACAAAAAAAGTTTAAAAGTTAAAAAGAAGAATTTTCGATTCACGTTTAATTCCATGTTTTATATATAACCCTGTAAAAAAAATCACTAAGTCACCAAGATCGTGTAAAAAAAATAAAATATCGGGAAGTATCTTACAAACTTGAATGCAAAAGAAGAACAAAGATGCTTCCTGATAGTTTAATTTTCTTGAATAGTTAACCTCCAGCTTGCTTTAAACTCAGTGCACCTACACTGCCTTTTCTTCTAAGTCAAAATTATATAATTATAACATGTATTCTGTAAGCATTAAAACTAGTCTTTGCTCTTTGATCCATAAAAATACAAAAATAAAATTTTTGGAACCTTAAAAATATTTAATAAGTGAGGGAGGAGGTAAAGAGAAAGAGAGAAAGAATTTTAAACATTTATATCTATTATAATATGCAGTTTATGTTATTGTTATTGCTTTATATATGTAAAAGTATTAAGTCTTTGCATCAAACTCTGATTTTCTAATCTCTATATATTAGCAACCTAAACCTTGAATTCTGATGGATAAAATAATCTCAGTTTGAAATATCAAAGGTTTACACAATTAGGTTATAAAAATATTGGGATTTAAAACCCTTATTAGGTTACAAAGACTCAATTTCTTAGTCTAATCCATCTAAAATTGCTATATATATATCGATAACTGAGCCAGCGGGTCGTATTTTCTCAAACCCAGCTTTAAGATCAAATATTAGGCTCAACTTTGACGACAACTTGTGTCGCGTGATTGACAGCTGCGAGACTTAGGAGGCCCAATAAAAATAAAACCAACCTTGGTTGGTTTTAGTTGAGAATAGGTCTCAATATTGAGTCTCGTTCTCATAAAAACTCGGAATGCGCCAATTTCTACCATGAAAATCCGCCAAATAGAAAATTAGACCGGTTTTTTGAACTCAAATCTGTGAAAAATAAGATGCAGCTTGAATCCGGAAGCTCTACGACAGCTTAGACCTGAGTCGTATTTTCTTGAATTTTTTAAATCGCCGGCTCTGACAATTATATATTGACCATAAATAAATCTACAACGTATTCTCCCAGGCCGCAACATAATTCTGTTCTTCATTGCAAAGAAAAAGAGCTACTTTTGAAATAAGACAAAATTAAGTTTTGCCCGAAACTGACTGTGGTGATTTTAGATAGATTTTGGCCTTTATTACTTTCTCCACATCTGCACGACCCTTCATTTTCAAATTTGATTCCTTTGGACCAGAGTGAAGAATTTTGGTAGTTTTCTATAGGGTTATGTAAAATATACAGGGTGTATCAAAAACATGACAGTAGCACGACAACTTGAAAGTCGTCTTTCATCTTGGAATTTATTTGTGACATTCAGTTTTCAACCTACATGTACAGTCAGAACCAGAAAACTCTGAAATAGAAAGACGACTCAATTGATGACTTTAAATAGTGTAATGAGCATGGGGCATAGCAATTGAGCAGTGTTAACAGACTAAATTCACTTAATGAGAGATATAATTAGTGTCCCATAAACTATTTGCTTTGTAAAAACATCAAATATATATAGTATTGCTATAAAGTCGTCTTCCTATTCCAGAGTTTTCTGGTTATTACACGATTCTTGAAACAATAACCGCAAAACTCTCCTAGTCCTTGCATTTTCAACATGTGGTTTGCCTTTTTTGTCATGTTAATATTACTTTAAAGATATTAAAAAGAATTAATAAATGTTGAAATCCATTATGCATTATTAATAATCATTTTGCTCTTTTCCATTTATGTTCTGTAAATTATCGATTCATGTTACTAGAAAAATAAATTGGTATTCCTTAAAGAAATAAAAAAGGAAAAGTTATGGTGACATCTTTATTTATCAATAAATATACAATATTTAACATTAGTTAATCTAAAGCAAAATTCCTATTCTTTTTCTACATTACATCTGATTCTCGCCAATTTGGCCTACAGGTTTTTCCGTGGATTTCTCTGCAGATCTTTCGCCGATTTTCTCTATTTTAATCTCCTCCCCTTGTCCAATAGGGATCTGTACTGGCTTGGACCGTTTAATGGAGAGGGTCAGCTGACCATCAGCTGACAGAGCACTTGTGACGTCGGCTGACGTGGTTCCCCGGGGAACGGTAAAGCAACGGAACATGTCTCGTGTCTGGGATTTAGTGAGGCCATCCTTCTCCTCCTTAAAATCCTCCCTAGCCTCCACTCTCACTTCATTTCCTATCATCGTTATCTAAACAGAAATGAGACTAGAGGGGTACAGTTAGATTTAATTTTGGGGATCAATCCGTTTTCAACACATTCCAGGGTTATCGAGCATTTCAAAAACTAAATTGTATTCAATTTTTATCATGTCAGTTGCTTTAAAGGCCAAAAAGTTTGAATGTAAAAAAAACGGATCAAAAAGAATTGACTAACACTAGATACAATCTTTGTTGATTTCATGAAACACTATTTTTTTAAACCGACTTCGGTCTTATGAACACATTTTTATTCCACAGTGTTACAATTGCAAATTGAGAAATTACATTAATATTTTGATTTTAACTGTTGTCATGGCAAATATTGAGGCATAAATTTGTCAAAAGTTTTCAACTAAAAGCATTGAGGGGCAGGGATCGAGTAATAACATAATAACATTCTCTGTTTATCTGAAATGCGAATTTAAGTCGGTAAATTCGGATTTTAATCGACAACATGTCGAACCAATCACGGTTTCAATTGTTTGAATTCATTAGCATCATGACATCGCACATGAATAATTCGGTACGTACAGAAAACAGATGTACAGTTTCTATATAGGTTTTACACTGTACCTGTACAGTAAAAGTACTAGTCACAGTGTAATTAGGTGGTGTGATAAATTATGTCAATATTTTGATTCTTTTGGTTTTTCTTTCG